AATACCAGGAATGATATTGTAATATACTGATATATTCTTGCTTAAAACAAGCTTTTGATTTTTTTTTCCAGATGACTTTGTGATGACCTTATTAATGATGATGGTGTTTTTCCTGATCACAGTATTTTTTGCCTTAGTTATGACATATATGTATTGTCATTATGCACCCAAGTCTGAGATGTGTGCCAGTATTCGATCTGAAGTCAATTACTTTTATATGCGACTTAAATACCACTACTACTATTATTTTAAATCCAATAAAGGCAGTACCTATATGTGAAACTTGCTGCTGTTCATTAGCATTTGGGAATTTTTCTTGTGTTTTGTAAATTTGCAACTTGCAGCTTTGGTATGTATATATTAGATCAGATTATTACAATCTGTGTATGACCAATACAAATAAATTGTATAATTGTTCAGATGGGAATTTTAATGCACACTCCTATTTTTGACATTTTCATATATTTGCAAATGTTTTATACAAATAATAAATGCTACTATTTTTGTGGTTTGGTTTGTACTAAAATTAAAAATATGTATATTGTAATCTAGTATTCTGTCACAAATACCATATAGTTAGTTGAGAATTGTACCCTTTGAAGTTGACTGAGAAATATTTAAATTAGAAGACTCTCATTTTAATGGACTGACAGCCAAATCACATGTGTCACTGAGAATTTTTAGCATTTGGCCAACTATGTTTTGATGGACTGGTGGCCTTATTGCAATAATGTAATTATCTGAGAATTCAATTTGAACGATAGTAGTTAATTTATATACTAGCTGAAACAAGTGCCTCAGTAGACCATGTGAGCACATAATGGATATCACCTTCAACTGTATTCTGTACTTATCACACACTGACAATATTTATATACAGAGTTGTTTTGTATTGTGAGTTATGCAGGTTTAGTGCACTTTTCTACTCTTTTTGCTTGTATCTATAAAACCTTTGCATTAAAACTGTTTTTCTTACTCAAAAAGAGATTTCTTTGTAATTTGTACGGAGAATGAAGAAGAAGAATAACTCACAAAAACATGTATTACTGTAGTGACATAGTTTGTATGTTTTGGATTCTGGTTATACACCTGTGCGTACACCCATCGTCATATCTCAGAGACGCCTGGACAAATTTTCTTCAAAGCTGGTACAACCACAAGTCATAATGGGAGAGAAGTGCACATCGATTTATTTTTGATTTGGTTGACCTTTGAGCAACTGGCTGCCATTTTTGTCCCTAAAATCATCATTTGGACATGTTGTCAACCGTTTCTTGGACATGCCTTGACTGATTTCATTCAAACTTGGCATTGGCATCAGTCATGGTGGGTTACTGATGCACATTTTTTTTGGTGATTCGTTTCAAAATGACGGACTGGTGGTGTTCTGCTCATTTTACAAAGAAGATTGTTTGGGTTATATTTGGTACAAGGGCAAGATATAATGGGTTAAATCTTGTTTTCAGTTATTTTTTGTTTTCATCAAAACATTGCCAAATGGCGACCATTTCTGTCATTTGTTTTCAATGCCCTTTGGCCAAGTTTTAACCAATTTTGTCTTCCAAACAGTTCGAGCTCATCTACTGAGCATATGAACATCACATCTGATGCGTGACTGCTGCAAATCAGTTTTGCATCCTTCTGTTTGTCATTTCTTGTGCGATTCACAAGTCATGATACATGTGAATATTACTTTGTTTTATTTTGTTGACCTTCAACTGACAGCCATTAATAGCCCCAAAAATCAACATTTGGACATGTGATCAACAGTTTCTGGGGCATGCCTTGACCAATTTATTACCAATTATTCAAACTTAGTCTTTATACCCGTTTCATGCATATTTGTAGGTAATATGCTAAATACTATCCCAATATTTAAACGTAATTTGACTATGCTTTTCATTGTTTGACAAAGTCACTAAAAACATGACAGGGACTATATCTTTGACAATGACTTGTTTCCTTTTGAGCTGTTTATCAGCACTGTGTCTGCTCAGTTTTCAGGTGAGGTAACTCTGTCTCTTGTGCATTGTCATAAAAGTCTCATTTGGAGATAACCCAAGCGTCTGGTTTACCTAGGAATGGAAAATGACAAATAATGGATCTACAAACACAGGGACTCTGGGACAGCACATGAATTTGAAAAAGGCGGTTCATCAATTTTAGGCAGTTAAGTGTTAAAGCTAAATTCCATAGCATCACCTACCTCAACAAGGAGAGAGGGATATGGTCACCTTCTCTCAGAAGGAAACCTGGAGGTGGAGATCCTGGTGGTGGGCTTATTGTAATCGAAGAAACAAAACAAAACTGGATAACACGCATAGTGAAAATTAAACTGCAATCAGTGAAAATTGGTTTTATACGGACAGTATTTGACCCTTGTTTCACTGATTACAGAATTTTGATTATCTGTAATTAGCGAAATGAACCATATACCATACTAAAGTCTCGATATTTTTTTTGGCAAATGTTTTATCTAGTTATATACATGACTGAAAGGTGAATATACTGGTCAAGTTTTGACCGACAGCTGTGAATATTGTACATGTAAGACCCTTGTTTCGCTGATTACAGATGTTTGATTATCTGTAATTAGCGAAACAAACCATATATGTATTAAATATTGTTATTTTCGGTAAATATTTTGTAAATATTGTGCGTATAAAACCCCCACTCTCACTGATCACAGTTTAATTTTCGGGTTTTTTTCTAGAAAAAAATGCAAGAGGGAGCACTGCAATTCAGTGGCACCACCAAGTAGGGTAGGATAAGGCTCTCCCTACCAGAGTTTTTGATAATTCTAAGTTAAAATGGAGCATTCTATGGCTTTTATGGGGCCAAAAGAATGTTACGGTTGTCGGAGGATCTGCTCCCCTGGGTGAGGGGGTACATGACCATGACATGAGGGCGCTGCACCCTTGTTCCCTAGTTTAAAAAAATCCCTGAATTTTCATTATGTGTGTTATCCTGTTTTGTTTCGTTTCGTTTCTTCAATTACAATAAGCCTTATTTGAGTCATGCTCATGTTTACTTGTGTGACATATCTGATTTGCCATGTACACCAGCTAAAGTTGTAGCCTGTATTCCTATGTACAGTGTAATTATGTTGTTCCTGTAAATAGTGTTAAGCATTTAATCTTTAAACATATTTACCATTGGCATCGTTATTGCTAATCAAATATTTGATTTCTGTCTGTTTTCAATAGCCTTGCCTGCAACTTGAAGTCTGGGATTCAGTGGGTCTCCTATTGGCCATATACTAGTAAGTAACGTTCATGCATGGCTCCTTAGCAAGGGCTAAGAGGTTATCATGACGTAAAAGTCGGGAAAAATCGCAAAAAAAGATTCATCTGGAGTTTTGCGATATGCAGTATCAGTGACTTGTGTGAAATTTTGATTTCACGAACGCTAAAATGGCGAAAACTTTAGCAATGAGAATTAAACAGTTCACAGTATGTTATGCTAACTGTTTGCACCCGTCCGAATGGAATGAAAACTAGTTGAATGTAATGTAACGTAATGTAACGTAACGCAATGTAATGTAATGTTAGAGTCGTTGAGTCGAAACTTGTTTGTGTCAACCGGAGTGTCATTCATTGCTTTATATATATGATGTCACAGATTACAGAATATAAATTTGTATATGTAATGGATAACTACAAATCAGTCCCACTTCTATAAGACACATTACTAGCATATTTCACGGTATTTAAGATTTATGTAAAATCAATAATCTCCGATCCCCAAATTTCTGCACCGTATAACAATATTGGTTTGATATTGGAACTAAATAACTTGATAAAGATGGTGATATCTGATAGTGCTCTGTTGAGTGCAAACAGAGCTTTAAATGCTTTTATTCGGATAGTGTCTGTTTTGCTGTTGTAACATTTCATGACGATGTCATCACTATTCCAAGAAAGGTGTAGCTTGTAACACAATTAATGTTTTTATTGCAATAGTTCCACTTCCGTTTTAGACAATATAGTAAAGAATTAATTGATTGATTGTCTAAAACGGTTGATTTAGTGCTTCTTTTCTAGAATCTAACAACGTAATTAGATCATTAATATACAAGTTAAACAATGTTGGGCTTAATGCACACCCCTGTTCACATCTTTATTAATATTTTCGTTAGTAACTCGTTGTAATACGACTCGGTGATACACGGTTAGCATCTTGTTATTGCGAGTTATTCAGAGTTCGTGTCTCGTTATTGCGATTTTGTGTCTCACAGTATGAGTTCGTATCTTGTATTGTATTATTGCAAGTTCAGTGACTCGGTTAGTACCTCGGTGATACGAGTTTATATTTTGGTTTATTCATATTTATCAATGATGTAATGAGCTTCTGTAAATTTGCGATTAAATGGGTTATAGTGTATAAGAAAAACTTTCTCTAAGTCTCATGTAATATCATTGAGAATAAGAAATTTATGCTTCATACCTAATCCTTTGTTGAGCCAAGAAATTTTACTAGTGATACGTGTAAAAGACTCCACATTGTTGGAAAACCACTTTCACCGTGATTACGCCCTCAGCGGTTTAATTGGGACAGGCTTTGACCTCGAATGAACCAGAATTTCATTTTCGTGATTGGGAATAAGGTTGTCCGTTTTCGTTTGGGATTATTATGTAGGCTGGGTCTGTCTAAAAGTGATGATTACGGCTGGGGAATATTTTACAGCCTGGAACGTTATTTTAAGATGAATGTGCCTTGACAAATTCGCAACTGCATCATATGACGAACGACGACGTTCTAGCTAAAAAACACAAATGTATTGTATACTGTACGACTAAGATGAGTCAGTTAAAGGTAAAGTAAATGAACTTTATATTGCTCATTTGCGTGCCATTATGTCCCGAGTCGCAAAATACGGGAATATTGACCATTTTTTTTGATAAAAACCCTCTGTTGTAAAAAAATGATATAGTTTGTGTAGTATTCATAGCCTGAAGCTGGGTGTGGATAGTATTAACAGTTACAGCTGAGACAGGTATTAAGACACCAGTACAGCAAATTAGCTCACAAAACTGCTTACGAAATATAATATTATTAATTTTGAACAAACTGCAGCCATTCAAGGTCACAGGGTGTTCAATATAATGATGCCAAAATTTGATTTCATTTCATTTTTGTTTCTCAAGTTTCACTCTAAAAATAATCTTGTGTTCCCTGTTGGGAATGAGAGTATACCAGTATGATTATGTTTTACTATACAACAGTTGTAAAAGTGTAAGTGAATTTATAAGCTTCTCTGTTTATTATTTTCAGAATATGGGTACATCAGATTTTGTCTACAGTAATCATCGCATAGACTACATCAATACATCCAAACATCATGTCACTACTTCACAACCTGTGCAGGAACACCAATCAATATGGGTTAAATTGAAGATCTTGCTCTCGCAACTTTTCACTGATAAAGGCAACTTTAGCCTCTTAACAACCCTATCAATTCTGGTTATTGGGATTATAATTGTCATACCATCTGATGGTGCATTAAGAGAGGCTGGCAAGTTCTTTCTATCATGTGGTATATTTGGATTTTCTGCTGGATTTACAAACTCTCTGGCCATTCAGATGTTATTTATCAAAATACCTTTCCTGTATGGTAGTGGGTGAGTAATACTATGAGAATATCTTGAAGTATGCAAGAAGGCAGTATGGCAATTGTGTCTTTGTGCATACTTTGCAGTATTCTTGTGATAACTTTATTATTACCGGTATACACCTTTTTCCTGCTTGTGATAATAGTTTAATGAGAGATAACGGCCCAAAATAGCAGAAAACAATGTTTCACGCTATGCAAATGTTTACTGACAGAATTCTATTTCCACAACACGCTACAGTGCTTCTGTGTCTGATGCTAACAAAAGAAAGTGTTGGAATGTGGCAGAAATATAATGCACATTTTCCCAATAAAGAAGACATTTAAATGCATCTGTAACACTTCAGAACACGTCTGTACAGGCTTTTAGAGGATGAGTTCTATTGTTCAAATGTATAATACTATGAGGTTATTATGAGGATGCTGCTAAGTATTCATGAAGACAGTACAGCGAGAGTATCGACTTGACATGCAGCAGAGGTTGATGTGACCACGTCCTGTCTGAGTGCATACTTAGCAGTATCCTTGTAATAACATTATTATACATAATACTAGTACAAGTCCCTGAGAGCAGGCATTCAGCTTATATGTACAGTGGAACAAACCATTGGTTGTTAGGTAATGTATTGATTCATGTACAAACATAGAACTGCCAAATCTCGTTAGTTTTATTTGAAACAGGAATTGCAGTCAGAGTGCATATCAGTACACTCATTTTAGATTACCCCATGTATGATTTACCTTAATTGTAAATTTTTATAATTATTTATAAAAGTAGATTACAATTTTTAATGACTCTCTATTGCACCGCCCTCTATGTATGATTGCTGAATAGACGATGCTAAGGTTATTTCAAAATTACATTCACCAGCACCAGGGATCAAAATCTGGGATAGGTGGAACGGTTTTCAACTTCAATTTTAGCTTGTAAATATTATTTGAATATTCGTCACATCCATGGGTTGAGTTAGAATAACAGTGGTAAAAGTAAAATACAGTAATAAACTTTTATACTTGACAGGGTGATTCCAAGCCAGTATAAAGAAACAAAGTATCAAATTAAGAAATTATTGATGGATGCATTTGCAAGTGAATCTGTTCTTATTAGTCTTGCTGATGCTGTGCAAGGCTTCTCAGGTAATAATTCTTTTAATTTCAAACTACCTCAACCTTTTCACCACCAGTTCCCGCTTTACATCACAAAATAGTACTGTAGTACACTTTCCTTTCTTTTTCAGAAGACTGGAACTGAAATATCTTCAAATCTTTTGAGTAAAATAAATTTTGTCTATTGTCTCCAAAATTAGGGTTTATTTCCAGAAATATTGAAAAATATAAGAAAAAAGTGCCAACAAATTTGGGGAGAAAGTCTGGTGGTCAAAAGGTTGAACCACTTTAATTTTGTGAGACAAGTTTTCATGAATTTCGGAAGTCAGATAAAATTGTGAAATTTTGTAGCAATGAAAATATTGGCTGCCTTCAAGAATGCCATAAAATCATATCGCAAAAGTAAAGAAAAATTGTTCAGTTTACAGAATATCTCAGTCATTTGCTTAAACCAGTTTAACTCTAAAGGCATTTTCAGGATGTATTTTGATCATAATTCCTGTGAAATTTAAGTCAATTGACCAGTGTTCTAAAAAGAGGTCATATGGTGGGCACACTTGTCTATTGCCACCCCAAAAACCTGTATTGGCTTGATTAGAAGCATATCTCCAATAGAATTGCATATAAACCAATTTTTATTTAATTTAAACTGGATTATTGAAATATAACTTGTTTTGTCCAAAGAAACACATTTGGCATTAATGTAAGCACTTTTCAGCTGAGAATAATAGGAGATGCATGTATATCTTTATACCGTATATCATAGGATCTACTGAATTAGAGAAGACAAATGCCATGTTGGATGAAAAATTATTAGAATTGGATGAGAAATATGATAAATGGCTAAATACTGCTGGATTGGACAAACCAACCACCAAATTGTTACTGAAAATGTTAATTTATGAATGTAGAGATGAAATGATAACCAATATCAAATTATCATATCCAGAAATATCAAAGGTAAATATAATGCAGTGAAACTGACCTTGTTTATAAATGTTTTGAATACATGCAATACATTCCTGATAAGTGTGTTCGTTTGTTCTCTATGCATACAACATGAATCCTTAGACCATTCTGTGCATTTGATCAGCAAATTAGACAATATTTAACATAGGAAGGAACCAGTTGTTTGATGTATATTCATGTTAGTTTATGTTAAGGTGCATTCCTTTTAAAGGCCCAGTAGCTGTAATGAAAACGTCTCTAACGGCGTTCTAAATAACTATTTTGTGTTGAAAACTTGTTGCATTTATCTTTGAAATTGCTTATCTCCTGTTATAATAAAATTTACATCGATCTCTGTGCGGATACGAATGCGGAGAAAATGCTCACGATCGAACTCAACGCCATATTTCTAGGTGGTCTGACTGATCACGAGATGAAGAACTCCAACAATCATTGACGCTGCAGTTCGGCGTCTTCTACACCGATCTGACGCATATCGCGCTAGGTGTGCCGGGAGTTTGTTCTAAATTTCGAACATTTCGAAGTTAGTTGTCGATTGCCACGTAATTTACGGATATATTAAATCATTTCAGAGACCTGTTTACTAAATAATGATAAATGAAACT